TATATATATATATATATATATATATATAATTATTTTCGGTAGCAATAATTTTTCTTATTTAGTTATTTTTCAAAATTTATTTTTTTGTCAATTTTTTCCCAAAATTTATTTTTTTCCACGTGGCATTGTTTAGCCACATGGCCTGGTGATGTGGCCAAAATTAACGGCAAACTTAACTACCGTTAGAAAAAGGGCTTATTTGGCTTTTTCTAAGAGTTCAGTGGCTTATTTGGCTGTAATAAAAGTTTAGGGGCTTATTTGGCCGTCTTGTATAAATTCAGGGGCCAATTTGATCATTAAGCCATTTTTTTTTATTTAGATCTCTTTTTTTTACTCATGAACATGATATTGAAATGAACTACACAATAGGAGGTAGTCCTCTCATTTCCCATAATCTCACCCCGCTCATCCCAGGTTTCAAACCCGGGACCTCCCACAAGAAATCCCAAGCTCTTAACCACTGGGGTGTCCCCTTGAGGACTTTTTATTTGGATCTCGTTTATACTAAATAGGTCTGTTTAATATGGGCTTAATAATAAAGTTTGTTAACCAGCAAGAGGGTGGATCAAGTAGTAAACGGCTTGTTCCAGCTTTAGCAGGTCTCAGCTTTAAGACCTTACATAAGCAATTGCCTCGTTGGTAGACTCACCCACCATAACCAAGTGCGCAAGTTTGTTATTATTATAACTCTAAAACACTTAGATTAAGTCTTTTAGTAAACTTGTTGGGGGTACATTTTACCAAAAAAAAAATTCAGTGGGGTATGCAAATAATATATCTTATGCATTTTCATAAGAGACTAATAAAGTTATTTGTACAGGTTGTCTGCAAAATCAGAGAATGTGGAAATAGAAGCAGAGTTGTAGTTCAAATTTCTCGCCTAGGGGCAGTGACTATAGGTACCAATATGGCAGGTCATGGAACGGACATAATCATTGATGGTATGCAGAATTTATGCCCAGGCTGAAGCTACCTTAAGATGCTAATTCCAAGGTTCAATCTCTTATCTATTAGATTTGTATCTTGATACCTTTCCCGCATATTGTGTGTGGCTTGGCCCCGTGATGGCTAATTACAACATAGTGGATTACATTTGACTATAAAAGTGTTTAAAAATGTTGCAAAGTTGTTATCGGTTGAAAGATAAACTAAGTATTGGTGACATTGACATTGATTATTATAATAATCAAAGAAAAGTGTTAGTGTTTTCCAAAGTCACTTGATTATGTCTTTTGATCCTCTTCTTTATTGCTTAACTTAATTATGAAGAGGAATGGACTTACGTAAGGTGATTTCATTGTATAAATAAAATATATTTCCAGGTTATGATTTGTGGGTGTATAGCTGGCATTGTATTTGCATATCAGTTTGATATTTCGCTTTGTATTTGGTGGGATAATTCGCAATCATGATGGAAAAATGCTGGCTGCTTGCACTATGAAACTAGGCATCACCACCAGTCTTGCTGCGGAGTTATGGGCCATCAGAGATGGCCTCAGTCTAGCTCTCTCTTAATTTGCACAATAAAATTTGAGTTGAATGTGACTCTCATGTTGCTATTTTACTTAAAAATTTGAGTGACTCTCAGGTTGCTATTCTACTTATTAATTCGTGTTCTTCTGATCCCATATTTACAGTTCTACTTTGTCTAGCTGCAGACAGCTCGGACACCAGTTGGGGGTTCGTGTTCTTCATCATGTACCGAGGGAAAAGAACTCCTATGTGGACCAACTAGCTAAGGCCAGTAACCAGCAGCAAGAGGATTTTTTCATATTCACTCATGAACCTCCTTGGCTTTCTCTGCACACTTGCTGGTTCTTTTTGCGTCATGTTCCTAGAATTGTCAATAGTAATTTTGAATTATCTTAACAATACTAGGGACCTTTTTTGTAATCATATGAATGTGCCTCTAGCTCAAAATACTATCCGAATCGGGACCATGTTCAAGTTCCCTCTTTTGAGGTTGGGCATACTGCCCAGCCTGATATTATGTAGCCTTTTCTTTAGTTAATAAATTCCCTTTTTTTACCAAAAAGATTTTGTATTTCTCGATTTTTACAAAAAATAAAAAAAAATCCTATTAGTACTACTTCCATGCTTGATGCTTGCCTTTTGCAATCCTACCATATAAAACCTAACATCTTACATTTAATGAACATATTTTACTCAGCTATAACATACCATGTTCTTATATATTAACCCTAGAACATATAATCCAAAGGCAACATTGTTCGCGCAGCATAGCGCGCGCGGGCACAAACCTTGTATATATGGGTGGGAGACCTATTTCTAACTAATTGGCACATGCTACGCATTCCTAACTAATTGTTCCTTGCCTTGGTTAATTGCTGGGGAATTTAACGAAGTGCTTAGAAACTCTGATAAATGGGTGGGAGACCTATTTCTATCTTTAGAGCCTAACTTTTCCAAGAGTGCCTGAACACTTGCTCTCTGACTAAATTAGCGGCCTCTGGGCCCAAGTACACCTGGTCAAATCATAGAAATCTGACTCAGCTTATTTTGGAGCGTATAGATCTAGCTTTTGCGAATCCTGAATGGAGACTGTTGTTTCCTGAGGCCTTTGTTTCCCATTTGTCTTCTAAGCATTCGGATCATTGTCCAATTTTGATTGGTCTTTCAAGTAATCCTAAATGTGGTGGGTCTAAGCCTTTTAGATTTCAACGTATGTGGCTCCAACACCCTGATTGTCTTCCACTGATTAACTCTACTTGGAATAATTGCCCTTTACCTTTTGTCGCCACCCTAGATTCTTTGAGAGAATCCCTGTCTGCTTGGAACAAGCATCACTTTGGGAATGTCTTTAAAAGGAAAAAAAAGAGTTCTTGCTAGACTTGCCGGCGTTGATAAAGCTTTGGCCGTTTCTCCCTCCCAATTCTTTATTGAGCTAAAGAGAGTCTTGTCAAACGAATACAAGGTCATTCTTAGAGAGGAGGAGGACTTATGGGCTCTAAAGTCGAGGGTTGACTAGTTAAATGAGGGTGAGAAGAACACTAGATTCTTCCATGTGTCTACTATGGTTAGAAGAAGTTATAATAAAATCTGTAGACTCCAAAATCCAGATGGCTCCTGGGTTGAGGATTTAAATGATCTCAAGACTATGCTGCAATCCCATTTTAGTGCTCGTTTTTGCACAAGTCACGAGTTTGAATCCCTGTCTCTGGGTGGGATTACTGATAGAATTGTGAGACTTAAAGATGACCAGGTTATGAACCTCATTGAACCTTTATCAGAGATTGAAATCAAGAAGGTGGTCTGGTCTTTTAAGGCTCATAAAGCCCCGGGGTCTGATGGTTTTCACCCCTTTTTTTATCATAGATGCTGGGGCATAATTGGTGCTAAGCTTTGTTCCACCATCTTGAATATTTTAGAGGATGCTTGTATGCCGGATTCCATTAATGGTACTCTCATTTCCTTGATTCCTAAGGTGGCAAATCCTATTAAGATTGACCAGTTTAGGCATATGAGCCTCTGTGACTTTCCCTATAAAGTAGTGACTAAGATCTTAGTGAATAGGCTCAAGCCGTATTTGGATGATCTTATTTCTCCCTTTCAGGCTAGTTTTGTACCGGGTAGGATGGCTAGGGATAATGCCATTATTGTCCAAGAAATTATTCACTCCTTTAACAGGAAAAGAGGCAAGGCTGGGTACATGGCGATCAAACTTGATCTTGATAAAGCCTATGATAAGCTGGAGTGGGGTTTTATTAGGAATGTGTTGTTTTCTTTTAATTTCCCCCAAAAGTGGATTGATTTGATTATGAGTTGTGTTTCTTCCTCCACTATCTCTGTTCTGTTGAATGGGGTTACTTTAGAGGGTTTCAAGCCGTCTCGGGGTATAAGACAAGGGGATCCTATGTCACCTTATTTGTTTATACTTTGTATGGAGATTCTTAGTTTAAACATCTTAGAGGCTGTTGATAATGGAGACTGGAAACCTGTCAAAATTTCTAGATCCAACCCTCTGTTCTCTCATCTGATCTTTGCAGATGATATATACCTCTTTGGTAGAGCTGATCCAGCCACTGCTCAGTCTATGAGGAACACTGTGCAAAAGTTTTGCCTTGACTCGGGTCAGATGATTAACTTGGATAAGTCGAAGGTTTTTTTCTCTCCCAATACTAAAGCTGAGGATAGATTGTCTTTGTTGAGTATTTTAGGTATTGGGGAAACCTCTAACCTAGGGAGATTTTTGGGCTATCCTATGCATCATGGTAGGGTGTCAAAGGATGATTACTCCTTTATTCTTGATAAACTCAAAGGCAAATTGACGGGTTGGAAAGCTAATATTTTGTCCCCTGCTGCTAGGCTTGTGCTTTGTAAGTCCACTTTGGAGTCCATTCCCTCTTATTTTATGCAAAATAGGCTGCTGCCTAGTAGGATTTGTAGTGAAATTGACAGAACTTGTAGGAACTTCATTTGGAATGATTCGGAGCAAAAGAAGAAAATTCATTTACTTCGTTGGGAAGAAGTGACAAAGCCTAAGAATTTGGGGGGGAGGGGGGGCTTGGCCTCAGAGATGTCAGGTCACTTAATCAAGCCATTGTTGGCAAGCTGGTTTGGAATTTTGACAGGAATAAGGACTCTCTTTCGGCTCGCACATTAACGGCTAAATATGCCCAGCAGAACCTCAAAAGCTGCTCAATTATTGGGAATGGCATGAACACTTGGTTTTGGTTTGAGAACTGGACAGAGTTAGGAACCTTAAGGACCATCATTAAGGGGCCACTCAACAAAGGAGAGGATTTCCTTCTCGTGGCCAATTTCTTTGCTAACAATTCCGTTATTTCTTTTGTTCTTCCTTCTTTTGTGTGGCAAGCCATTAGAGCTATCCTTAGACAGTTGGAGAATAATGGTCAAGATACTCCTTGCTGGCAATTGTCTAAAAATGGCCAGTATACTATTGGTTCTGCCTACAACCTCATTCGTAATCTTCCACGGGAAGATCAGTATCCACCCAATTGGAGATGGATATGGAAACTGAACATTGTTCCCAAACTGAAGTTCTTCATTTGGGAATGCCCGCATGCTATCCTTCCTACTAGAGCTTGGTTGTCCCATAGAGGCTTGGAAGGTCCTACTCATTGTGTTTTATGTAACCAGGCTGTCGAGTCCATACAAGATCTTTTTAAGGAGTGTTCCTTTGCCGTTAGTATTTGGAGTAGAGTTGGCTTGGGGAGCTCCAATCTAGATTTTGAGCTGTGGTTCAGAAATTTAGTGTCGGATAAATCTTTTTTTCAGGTTCATAGAGTCCCAAGAGGGCTGATTGCTACCCATATTATTTGGGTGATTTGGAAAACTAGAAACAGAGCTATTTTTCAAGGTACTCAACCTGATTTGAATTCTACTATTTCAATGGCTATGTCTTGAGCTATTGAGTTTTTTGCCATTAATGGTAAGATGAAACCTCTTCCTTTAGGCTCGATTATCCCTGTTTCTTGGCAGCCTCCTGGTCCAGGTTGGTTGAAATTGAATACTGACGGATCCTCCCTCGGCAATCCAGGCCTAGCAAGGGCAGGGACTGTAATCCGTGATCATGAGGGTGGTTGGGTGAGAGGCTCTGTTAGGCAACTGGGAATCTGTTCTAATTATCTTGCTGAGTTATGGGCTCTTAGAGATGGGCTTACAACTTGCCATCTCACTTGGAGCAAGAAAGTTAATTATTGAGTTGGACTCAACTGCTATAATTACTACCTTGAGTAGTTTTATGTCTGACAATTTGTTTGCTCAACCTATTGTCAATGATTGCAGGCGGCTAATGCTTGAGCTGGAGGAGTATAAAATCCAGCATGTGTTCAGGGAGGGGAATGGAGTCGCGGACGGGTTAGCTAAGTTGGCAAGCTCCTTAAGCTGCAATGACATTAAAGACTCCTTTACTATTTTTTTTTTTTTGTTTGATCCCCATTTTGTATTAAAGACTTGCTTATTTCTGATGTCAGTGGGCATATGTGCTTCAGAACTTATTTATGATCTATGAATTAGTTCTTTTTCCGACCAAAAAAAAAAGATATAGCAGCATGAATGCAACATTTTATAAATTGCCTTTAAAAATTAAGAAGAGATCCACATTTTTTACCTCAAAAAAAAGATCAATTTTTTTTAATAAATAAGAGATCCACATTCGTATAACTTTTGATAAATTGTTTAGCTACAAGATTAATTTAAATAATAATAATAACCATCCATGCGAATGGAGGTTAACATTGTATAGTGCAGGCACACATGATTTTGAATATGGCAAGGTTTTTCTACCAAAAAAAAACAAAAAAAGAATATGTCAAGGTTCTGCAAAACTAAAAGCAGTATGCAGAGCATTGAACAAAAGATCCATAACTTGTGCTTTTATATTTTCTTCAAATGGAACCTGCTAAATCAATGGAGTCAAAAAGAACTCTAATCACTATATTCAAAGGAGCCAAAAGAATCTCTGATCACTATTTCAAACACTCCACCATTAAATTTTACAAAGGAAGAGATATGTCAGTCGGAAAATATTGAAGGGTGTTGTGAAACATCTCTAAAAACACCACCATTAATGACATATCTGTCCATTGTTGAACTTGTTTAGTGATTTTGAGGATTGACTGACATTATGGTATTCTTCTTTTTCTGTTTTTACAATATGAAAAAGGAGCAATAAGCATCTACCAATTTCCAGATCCTCCCCTGTTTTACTTACAAGAAAATATGTAGTAAGGCCAAGCTAATTAGTTTAACTTCATTTTGGGATCATTCATCACTTCCTTCCTTAAAATATATGAAATTAAGGTTTAACATTGCATAATTATGTAATATAATCAACAAGCAAGTGAACACTTGCAGTAGCATATAAAATACCGAAGAAATTAACAAAGTCTATTAGCACAGTAATTATTATGATCATCAAAATCGTAAAAAACAAGATTTTCTATGTATTTCACTGTCTTATGCCAGATTTTGACCACAATTTGTAGGTAAACACTTGATTTTATGCAAGGAAAGAACAAGATGTAATGAATATACATTTGACCCATTTCAAATACTTACTCCAAAAAAAAACATACAAGTCTGAAAACATTAAAAAGGTTGCTGCAAATAAATTGATTCCACGCAACAAAAAGAGGTGTAACGAAGCAATGGAAGAATTAAAAATTATTTTCTTTCCACTATATAAGGCCTCCTTTCTCACCTAAGTCTCTATCTTCATTCCTCAAGCTCCTCCTAAGCCTCCCCTTCTCCCATAAGTGTCTCAAGCTTCTTTTAAGTCCTTTCATGGACCATTTTGATACGGGTGGTAATATTACTCTTCAATCTTGCTTGGATTCTTGCAATGATACAACCGACGAACCAAGTCCAGCATCCGGTCATACAACCGACGCTATTGCCAATTGTATAACCGGATGCTTGAATGGTTCGTCGATTGTATTAACGGATACTGGAATGGACTTAGAACTTGGGCACAAAGCCATGTAATACCATGCTTTTTTTCCCTTCCCCTTTTTATTTTTCAACTTTACGTTTTTAAAAACAATTATCTATCGTCGGATTTTGTAAACAAAGCGTAAATTCAAAACTGCTGCTATGTCTTTAGTTCTTTTATGTTTTATGTTGGTTCTTGGCTGACTCAAGTTTCCTTAAATATTTCTTCTTACATGCACAAGGGCTGAAAATCTTCTCTACTATAATACCTAGGATAACAGCAGAGGTGTTTGCCTTAGTTTATGAGGTAAAGTGGTACCGAAAGATGATCAACCACCATGGGGAAGATGTGGCTATAAGGATTGTTCCTTTCGCCATTTGTGCTGCCCTGCTATTGGATGCATGGATGGTTGATTCTTTGTTTTCGACGAGCGCGCGGCTGAAGTGGGCGTGTTTGATTTTTGCTGGGCATGTTACCCTTACAAAGGATAACTCTATTGCCTCCATCGGTAAGTTATTTTGATTTGCCGGGTCAGGTACATTGATCTCCATCATATCTTTCAAGTTGTGGATGCCTTTGTTGATTTTTGCTAAGTATCTTCAACTAGTGGATCTACCGATGTTTGGAGCAAAATTCAGTTGGGGGAAAGCAGGATGTTCGTTGGCATTTGAGGAAGAATGTTTCAGATTTTTGCTTTCGCCATGTGTCTAAGGAAGCAACCAAGTAACTGGATCTCTGACCTTGCAGGGTGTTTGACTGGAGTTCTCCATTGATAAACAATTTCAGCTTTTATTTTTGTGATCTTTCTTGTATGGCTTGTTGTTGGTTGTCTTTGAGTTGCCTGCTTGTGGTTGGATTGTATTATGTTTTCCTTGCACCTTGTTGTGCCTTCCTATTCAATAAATCTTTATTGTCTTGCCTTTCAAAAAAAATGTTTTCTTTCTAGCCATGTCAAAAGCAAACAACATGAAAACTTATTTAAGTAAAGCAACATTATAATCTCCCGGTAATACAAGCATTGTAATTAATAATTTTCTAAGACTTAATGGGCTGGGCAGACTCTATATCTAAAACTGGAGATACTTTGGCAGTGGCAGATGGCTGAGGCTGAGGCTGAGGCTCATCATCGTGGCTTTTACAACTGAAATTGAAATAAAAAAAAACATAGCCAAGGCCATCAAAGCAGTCAACGTCAAGGCAAAGGAAAGGAATAATGTGGGCATAGGCTCTAAGCACTTGATTATCTTTATGATTCTTCACAAACTCTTTCCAATCATTGTTTAGAAGGATCCACCATAACGTAGCCAACACCCAAAACAAAAGGCTCACTGCAAGAGTAAACCAACACGGAAGCCTACGAGTAGTTGCTTTATACCCAACAATCCCTCTTTTATCCTTTTTTTCTGCAAGACTCGGATAGAAGCCTAAATAAGTTGCAATTAAGACATGGCCCATGCCAACGGCCGTGGGAAGAAGAAAGCCAAAGTCAAGGGCGTAAAGGAAAATAGTTCGCCACAGATCAGATCGATGCTTCCCGCCCTCCATTTTGATCTCCAGTATTGTAAGCCAACATCTATCAAACCCTAATGAAGCAAAGCAATACCAAGCCGCCAGAAACCTTCTGCTTGGTGGTCCTTCCACTCTTCCATGCTCCATTGTTTATCTTAGTCAAGCTAATTAAGGAAAATATATAATATTATAAGTACCATCAGTCAAAATGTAAAATAATAAAAAAATGCACAGTAAGGATCTGCACTTAATTTGTAAAATAATCATTTCTGCCAGATTATGCACATTTCATCATATTTAACAAGATAGAAGTTCAAGATAGATTATTTTTGTCCTTCCAAACAAGGAAAAATAAAACGTTTTATCCGATAACCTTTTAGTCTCTCTAGAGTGGTGCTCTGTGAGAGTGTTCTGAGTCTTGCTGTGGGCAAGTTTTAAGTTTAGTTTCTCTAGTGTTTTGGTCTGGTTTGTGGTAAGAGTTTCGGGTTTTCTGTGTCTTCTTTGGATTCTTTTAGTCGGATATAGGTACTGTCCAGGGGGTTTTGATCGGAAGGTATGGCGGACGATCGCTCGAAAATATATGGTCAATTGGTTTTGACAGAGGAGGAGGAGGAGGGGGTTAGTGATGGCGAATCTGTTCCAACGGAGAAGGACCCTTCGGAGGATTTTTGGCTGCTGGAAAGCTCTTGACATCGAGGCCTTTCAATCAGCAAGCTATGACTCGGACGTTGAGACAAGTCTAGAAGCTTGTTAGGAAGTTTTCCATTATCACTTTTGAGGATAATCTCTTTCTTTTCAAATTTGCTTCTGAAGCAGATCGGGATAGAGTTATTGAAGGATCTCCATGGTCCTTTGATAAACATTTACTTTTGTTTGCCAAATATGATGGTGATCTGAAACCGGAGGATTACAAATTCAATCGGGCGCTGTTTTGGATGCGAATTTATGATCTTCCTTTGGGGAAAAGAACATTGGAGATGGCAGAAAAAATAGGGCATAAATTGGGAAAACTTATTGCTGTTGATCCCTCTTTGGATATGGAGGGTTGGTCACGTTTTCTCCGTGTCCGGGTGGAGATTGATGTTACCAAGCCCTTAAGGAGGACAATTCCGACCGGTTTCTCGAGCAATGGTGTGTGTGGCTTCCTTAAATATGAGAGGTTGCCTGAGTTTTGCTTCTCCTGTGGATTACTAGGACATTGTTGCATCGATTGTGAGCATGATAATCCGGGTAAGGGTGAAATTGTTTATCAATGGGGGGATTGGATGTGTGCTTCACCTTTGAAGCAGAGACAGTCAGGATCGGGGAAGGCAGTAGTTCCGATTTTGAAGCAGAGACTATGCGGTTAATTTTGATAAACCGAGTGGATGCAGAAGGGAATTATTCAAGGAAGGATCAGGGGATACTAGTGATCGACGGTTGCCGGCGGAGTCTGGTGTTGGAAACTTTGACAACAGGGGAAGAGAGATACAGGTGGGCGGATTTTCAGGAGAAAATCAAGGCGGTGAAGAGGGCAACTCAGCGGATTCTAAGGAAGAAATTTTGAGGGAAACGGGGAATGAAGATGCTGCTGTAAATGTTTTTGAACCCGATAAATCAGTGATACCGTTGAATGCAATTAAGGAGATGTCGCTGGAAGATAAAATTGAGAAGTCAAAGGAATATGTTACTGGAAGGAAGTTTATTAAGGTCAAACCTAATTTGGGGGCAAAAAATAAGGGGGCTGTTAATGAGTTTTGCTCTTCAAAGTCAGAAATAG